ATTACACATCATATAGTGATAGCTACTTAGGGATTTTTTCTTACACCAAACACAATATACCAAACACAAAAGGAACAAAGACAAGGCTAATACTATTTTAGTACAATACAACTCCGAAATCTAGAAACAGTATGCGTACATCCTGATGCGTACATAATTACTAGAATCTTGTTATTTTTCCTTATTAAAATATATAAATTACGATCACAAAACTTTAAACGAATACAGAATGTAGTGTACTGCGATAAGACATAATATGTATATGACTATACTGGTATATAATAATTTGGTTACCAAATTATTTCAATGACATTAAAGATTGCTACAGGTTAACGACCTCATTCTAATATGAACTGATATCAACTACAATCTAATATTATATGCATCTAACATATAACTATCAACGTTCACAGTACACTGTGATGACCACTGAATCTGTGAGTCTTGAGGATATTACTGCAATATATTTCATGTAAATTTTTTATCGCATCAAATGGAATTTCCTTGCGTTTGAAAATCGCAATCCCAGTCGACGTCAGGAATTTCCATCACAACCGCTGCACTGACTACTTCAAGTCACCAACGTATATAAGCCAACAATAAAAACTAACCAAGCACTTAAATGCGCAACGTGATGCGTTTCTCCTGCGGCTACGAAAAGAAATTTAAACAACTTCCAAAAATAGAGCAAAAAAATGCAAATAGAAGTAAAATAAAAAAGCTTACAAGCAATGCAGCACAATATTTTATTGCCGCTACATTTACAATATAAACACAGGTGCATTTGTGCAACTTGCAACATGCAACATGCCACAAGCCGAAAGCTGCAACACCAACAACAACAATCTTCCCTGCACAGTGCATCACATTGCACTGTAGGATAATCTGCAAATAAATTCGTAATTTCGTTTTTATTATTGTATGCGTGTGGTCTGTACACACAGAGCAGAGCTGGCTGAAAGTATGCTTGTATAAATGTTTTGAGGACTTGTGTATGTGTGTATTTGTGTGTTTGTATGTTTGTATGCGCCAGCATATTTTTATATGTCATTTCGTGTGTTTGAGCGCGTAATCAAATATTCATGAGCTTCGAATGCAGCTGAAATTATTATTATTATAGTTGTACTTGCTCTTGTATTCGTTGTTGCTGTTGTTGTTGTTATTATAAGTGGTTTCATTTGTGACTTTTTTCAAGTATGTGTGTACGCTTAAATAAAATTGCTTGCTCTTGTTGAGTACTCGTGTAAATTGCACTTATACAAGCGCAACATAATAATCTGCCATCCTTTATGATATTTCCTATAATTTTCTGCTTTTATTTATTTAAATAACTCTTCTTTGTGTGTGCCTTTTTGAACGTTAATGTATCTTTATATCTCTTCACCCCACAAGCAGTTATGACAACTGATATCAAACGCATCACCTTAATTGACTGTCAAAACTAATTAAGCGCTTACCTGATCTTCTCGTGGAATCCATCACTTCATTTGGAGTAATTCAAAGTGAATGAAAATTCTTATTTCTGTGATTTCATTACCAATAAAAAGATTTTTCAATTTTTATGTACAGCATTTACATAAACTTGTAATGATATTAATTACTTTTTGTATATGATATTAAATATTTATTGACAAATATTTTAAAATAAGTTATTAATGTACATACAAATATAAGAAACAAATCAATAAATATATTATGTAATATGATATGTAATATTGTTATATATTTTTTATGAACTATGCTAATACATAAAATTTTTTACTAATACATAGTGATTGCGTCCGGCCTTATATAACACACTGCACCATCGAATTGCTCTACGAAAAATCAGTAATCATGCAACTTTAAAAAATATAAGCTACAATTATGTCATTCGGCCGGAAACCACACCGCACTGTTCATTTTTAGGCATTAAAATTAGTTTTTAAGGACAATTTTGCTTATTTAAGAGCCATTATAAACTGATAAATGAATTCAAACAAAACAAAGTGACAAGCAATTTTTGCTTAAAGGGCACTTAAATAGAAGTTTAAAACTGTGTTATCATTTTATTATCATATTCACAAAATAATTTTAAATTGTGTTTAATTTAATCAGCATTGCATTGTAAAAATGTTTAAATATGTGTATGTACATTATTAGAGTCAACTGTCGGACAACTAATTCTGTGATATTGCAATATATATAAATGTATAAAGAAGCCTGTACAAATATACAATAATAAACTATTGAGACATATTTTCTTAATTACAATTTTTCTGATTATAAATTTAGATATGAAGCAACATTACAATCTAAGTAGACTACAAGCGCAATGACTTTTCAGATTTTACTTAGATTAATCTGATTTACTTGTTTCAATGGAGGACAATTGTATAACATAATGAAACGTAATGTAATCACACATCCTTTTTGTATTTTAAGTCATATATTTTAAATTTATTATTATGAAAAAGGAATAGTACACTGCAACCTTAAAGATTTGTGTCCTCCTTAGTCGGAATAGTCTTGAATCCCTATGTTCCATGAAATACCCTCCTATGTGTTTCTTCTGGGTGTGCATCTCTGCCTTGCACTCCCCTAGCACATGGTATGCGGTTTCTCTCTCTTCTCTTCAATATATGCAATCTAAGTTGGATCAGATTTCTAACTTTGTTAGATGATTATTCAATCTACAGTGACCGGTTAGTAATCCCGTAATAATTCTTAGGCAAATCATTGTTTGTTCTGTATGCAATCCTTGAAGCGGCTTAAATTCTAAGTTCCTAAAAGCATTTTAGATTGTGATAGTCTTGATAGCTTTTCCCAATAGAGTTCTCTTTCTTTTTCTTCTGTGCCGTTCAAAAGAATGGACAGAATTTCTTTACCTAGACCACAGAAAGGTTCTGAGCCTTTTTTTGTTGAAGCCGCGCCTCTTCTTGCGAGTTTATCTGCCATTTCATTTATGTCATATAAACATAACAAAATCTCCGATTTTAATATTACATTACTTAACAACTAAATCATTTTTAATCATCATTAAAATATTGGTTTTATATTTATAAGTTTTCTCTTTATGAAAGTAACAAAGTTCGAAAGTTCGGGAATTTTGATAACTACGATAAATCTTTTAACCAGACCTTATTAATATCCTTTTATGGATACTGATGCAAAATTCACTAGTATTTTTTTTATAAACATCAAAAGCTCTTTTACAATTTTTCGTCTGATTTAGTAGAAAATCATATTATTTTTTAACAAAGTTTAATATTTTAATATATAATATAATATCCATGTACGCAATGCGAACGAAAACGTTGGAACACCATAATTGTTCGAGCCTTTGCTATTATACAGCTATATATTTGTTATCCAAACATTATATAATATATAAAACAGATTTTCTATGCAAGCAGCTCGAAAATCTTCAAGCAACTCGAGTGTCTTCAAACAAGTGTTTCTCTCGAACATTTGAATAGCAGTGACGACTGCTCTAAGGTGCGGAGGTGTGCGGCGCACACCCTAATATAATTTGCAAATTATCAAATAATATATATAAATTTATTAAATATCTTTACTTCGAGAATTCATATTATTACATTTTCATATATGTATATATTTTTAAATATTAAAGTTTTAGCAAAAACAATTTGTTGAGAGATTTATTTAATATTAGGCGTTATGTTTTGTAAGCATATCTCAAAAGAACAACCGCTTATTTTAAAAATAACATATGAAACAACAACACTGTTCGCTTATTTAGTCCAACCTTTTTGAAACCGCTTAACTAATAAGCAGCTCAAATTGCATGGTTGCCATGACTAAAAACTCGTCTATTGTGAACGATTTTTAGAAGTACATATGAAATTTCAAGTTCACGGCCAGCTGTTAACTGTGTTTGAAAAATAATAATATACAATTCTTTTTAATTTTCAACTGCCAACTGCAGTTATTTGATATAACGTTTTGTAATAAATATATTTTGCTGTTTAAAAATGAGTGAAACATATGTAATTGTAGAACTTAAAAATTAAAATATTAAGGAACTCTATTTTTCTAATTATATACATATTTATAGTCATATTGTAACATCACGAAAATGGTGGAGCAATGGAGAAACAATTGCGTTTCTGCATTGCTATTTAGCAAGGAAGCACGAGTTCGAACACACAAAAAAGAGGGCGGCTTATTTTAATGTATTAGAAGACATGCTCGCAAAAAACATTACTGTAAGTTTAACGAATGATTGTATAACCAGGCGAAATGTATTATTATCTACTTTTTCTTTTATTTCAGGATAAAGAAAGAACAGCGCAGTATCTAGAAGGACAAATGCGGACTTTAATGAAAGCATATAAAATGGCAATAGGCAACAATAAACGAACTGGCGCTAGTCCGTGTTTTCCACCTCATATGGAGCTAATGGACGAAATTTTCGGAAATTCTCCAAAAATTAGAAATACCAATGCTTTGGATATGGGCTTCGAAGAACTGGTAATGCTAGACGACTCTCACTCAAGTATGTAATTTTCGCAATTGTAGCCAGTACTGCCATCCCCGCAACCTTTACTAAATGAAATTGGAATTGAACAAAATCCAGCGCCAAGTGGAATCGGATCACTGACTTCAACTCCACCACCACCTTCAATTTCTAGTTTGTTAACAGGAAAAGTACGCAAGCGATCAGATCGCGATATATACTATGAAGAAAAGCTTAAATTGAAAAAAAACTGAAATGGAAGAGAAACAAAAGCTAAGACAACAAGCTGTTAATAATATCCAACAGCAATTAGCGGTTGATCAAGAAATGGAGCGCAAAAAATTGTCGCTGTTGGAGGCCGTTGTGAAGTCATTAAATCCATAATTAGTTTAGTTTATTATTGTATTGAGTTTATTTATTTTTTTTTTTATAATTTCAATAAACACAATTTCTTTCTCTATTTTGTTGTTTGTACTTTATTTTCAATATTTAGTTTTAAATCTAAATAATATTTTCTCTTGATAAGTAATTAAATAGGTTTTGTCTTAAATCAATTGAGTCATCCAACTTTAAAGTATCAAAAAATTCTGGTTGATCTGCCGTTTCTTCCACACTATTGTGTTCGTCATTGTTTTCGCAAAAATCATCCTTACTTATACAAATATTGTGCAGAACACATACACTGGCTACGATGTTCGTGATTGCAGCCAAATTACTTTGTTCTGTAAACTTTGATAGTCTGCGAAAGCGACTTTTTAGCAGACCAAAAGCATTTTCTACTACCATTCGTGTAGAGGAATGCTTTTCGTTAAATTTTTTTTGGTTTTCATCTAAGTTTCCATAGTCTTTGAATGGGGGCAAAAGCCAGTTTAAACACGGATAAGCAGTATCTCTAATAATAAATGATGAGTTTGGAAATAGTTTACTCTGATTTACCTGTGTACGTCGGTATATATCAGATCTTCTCAAAACTCTAAAGTCGTGCAAGGATCCAGGTTCACCACAACTAATATTTAAACATTTTTTGTCTGTATCTACAACAGCCTGCAAACAATGGAATAGTATTGTTTGCGATTAAAAAAATCTTCACCATGACATGTTGGTCTTTTAATTGGAATATGCGTGCAATCTATTGCTCCTATTATGCCTGGTATTCCATGCTTTTCTTCGAACTTCTTCATAACATCGGCGTCAATTGATCCTCTTGGCCACATAATACATTCATCGCTTATTGATATCAAGAAACCTGTTACATGCCGGACTGTACCCCAAGTCACTGATATTGCAACACCAAAAAGATTTGCCAGCTGTCTGTAAGTAACCGCATTACTTACATACCAGATGTACATATAAATTGATTTTCTGCATACCACGCGTTGTCTTCCACCACCAAATTGATTTGGAAAGTACTCAGACTGTGAAAACCGTGCTGAAATAAATATGGTATAATTATTTAAGACACTTTAGTTTACAACCTTCGTACTTATAATGACTTCTATCGTTTCTCGTTTTAATCGGAAATGCTGTTTAAAGTCCTGAGCACTCATAGCTTCAATAGTAGATTCAAAACTGGAACATTTTTCATGTTGCTCCGGTTCTGAATCCGATTCAGACGAACTTGCACTTTCAAATATGTCAAGAACTTCTTTCACTCTATTTTCATACTCAATTCTTTTTAGTTTACCACTTTTTTCTGATAAAATAGAAAATGCCTGAAAAAAACAAATTTTATTCACAATCATTTAAAAAATGAAATTTTCTTACCAATAATTGCAAAGAATTATTCATTTTGTTGATTTTCACTTTAAATTTTATTATGTGTTTTGCAAATACAAACAAAATTTCCAGTTTTTCCAGAGTTGCCATCGAAAGTAGTGCTTATTTTATTTGTTCTTTTGTGACATGCTTACAAAAGAAAACGCCTATTATTGTAATTTACTATTATTACTATTTATCTAATTTATCTAATTCATACTGTACACTTAAAACGCGTGCTGCTCACTTTTTTATTGTTAATTTGCAACCCAATGTTGACTTTGGTCAACCTTGTACATTATATACAGTTTTTTAGCTTCCCTACTAAACTAGTTTTTTGATTGAGATAAATAAATGCAAAAACTCTTGCGTTTTCACAATTAAATATAATTGTCTATGAAAACTCAATTAATTTGCTTCTCTTAGCTACTATAGTCATTAGTTGTGCTCATAAGTTTACAGCCCACATCGCAAAACACTTCTATCATATTTCGTCTTTCCCCTTTATGCAATTGCATTCATGAACAAAATAATGTGCGTGTGCTCTAGCTTAAAATATGAAAAATAGAGATTGGGAATTGTATGAGAGTATTTTCTGTTTTATTCGAATATCAACTCCATTTATAAGAATCCAACATGTTGACTTGCCGAAGCGGTTAGATGTGCGGCTAAAATTTGCAGCTCACATCACCATACATTTCTTCCAAATTTCGTCACTCCCCTTTTAGCTGTTGCTCCAGCAAATAATAGCCGCTTTGTGTGCGAAGTAGCTGGCCGCACATTTATACGCTACAAGTGTGTTCGATTTTGTATGATCATTGCATAAACATGTATGGTTCTAGGTACAAACTCTTTTGTTTGAAATAAGTTGGTTTGATGTTATATGTGAAAAGTTGTATTTATTCCATATTGATGTAATATAAAACTTATATATAAATTATTAATTTTTATGTTATTATGTTTTATGTTATTTTTTTTTTGAATTGTTAAATGTTATATTGTGAATATATTGTTGCCTAATGCAATATAGTTATTATTAATAAAACACTTTATATATATACATTCATCATTTTTAATTTAAGTGGTACATGTAAAAACAACATTGTAGAAGGGCCGCACACCCTTCCAGATAAGGGCATGTGTCGCCACAGATATATATATATATAATTAATTGCTATAAGAGCTACATACTTTGTGATTTTTTTAATAATCCAGTTATATAATCCAAAACTTTTTAATCGTTTTTACGAATAGTTTTATATATTAAATTTACAGTATAGTTAGATTATATGTATATATATATTATATGGGTACCTATGTAACTCCATAGAAAATTCATAAAACTTATATAAGTTTTTATTAGGAAGTTTCGTACAACGGGTTTCTAACTATTTTTCTTTATAGTCTGTTATTTAAATATATCAAAACAAACCCTAAATATTATTTTCGAAATGTCCTACTATTTAAATATTGATTGCAATTAAAACTGAATATTTATCTCGTGCGAGATAAGAGCTAAACCATCACAATTGCCTTGACAGCGGTTAAACGCTTTTGTTGTCAAGACCACCGTATAAGATACAATATCAAATACTCGATTAAGAGAGATATCAAAATTTCTGTTTTTTATTATTTATAATTAAACAGATGATTTCAAAACAAATCTTAATTGAAAACAATGCATTTTACTAACATATACACAGGATGTTTGATAATGTTTGATAATACAGATTTAACAATACAATCAAACTGCAGCTTGGAAAACTATGCATATCCAAATGTTACTCCAGAACATTAAACGGTATCCCTTCAACATCAATGTGTTGATAAAGCACAAGCGACGTCAATGGCAGCCAACTAAGTTGATAAATTAATACTAATTTAATATTAAATAATACATAAATCTATAAACGATGCATTAACCAACTTTCTGTATGGTCTACTCGATCAAAAATGCAACAATTATTCCTGTGGAGAGCAGAAAACGTTCCAAATCACGTAGTATGTAGTTGTGGGCAAAAAGTGGTTCAGAGAAAGTCCCTCCACCTATTCACTTTCCTCCTGTACCACGCTCATGCTTTCTGGCTTAAATTAACATAAACCTCTAGGTATTAAGCCTATTGATCACATCTTCCTCCCGTGATTACTAGAATGAAGTCACCATTCTGCTGTCGAAATTCCTCCATTTATTACTTAGAGGTGGTTGTACTGGGTTGAAGTCTCGCACTGTGTCTTTTATTGCCTTTCACTTACTGCTCAAAACAGTTCAGAGAAAGTAAGTCTATATGCTTAACTCTGATATTTGGTTAGAAAGAGAAAGGGATGTTTGTCCATTCACTCTTAGCAAAATTTCTGTTTTTTTCCACAAAAAATTGCATTCACTTTTAAATTTTTTCAATTCTTTTCTCTATTAGTTGAGTATATTATATATTTTATACATGAATATATACATATATTTCTATACAAAACAGATACTGTATATCTATAATAGATAGAATAGAACAAAAATGAAACAACTTTTTATTATTTTCGTGAAATTGATTGGATTTAATATATGAGTTCGCAAATTCTATAAATTTTTTTACCAACCATGGACTTAATAAAATAAAAAAGTGAAAAACACAACCTATTTCTACATAAATAATAATTTTATTACCGTACTAATTTTGTTTCGATTTAGTTTTCCGTTTCGAACGTTTTCCATATATTAAACCTATTAGCTTATATATTACCAAAGTAATAAAACTCAATACAAATAATATCACCCCTAGTATAGTCAAAATGATATCTATACTATGATATTGCCAGAAATTTAAGTCAGCGCCAGTATTACGTAAGTGTAGGGCACCATCATGTCGCAAAACATACTCCAACCAAAAAATAGCAGTCTCGAGTGGAGTCATTGGCTGATCTCGTAAACGTTTTGAATACATTTGTACATTCTGTGTATAAATTGGATTATATAACAACTCGCTTAGACCAAGTTTTAAGTCGGTTTCATTTAAAGTCTTGAAGTCAACGCTTTTCGCGTAACCACGTTTAACAGCATTTGCGACGTTCATGGGCTGATCAAAGAACCTAGGTATACCCAGCACCGGCTTAGCATGATATATAGCTTCGGTTGTACTTAGTAAACCACCATGTGTGATAAAAGCCTTAACATTCGGATGTGCCAGCACTGATGGTTGTGGGTACCATTTACTTATGTATACATTATCTGGTTTATTCGGCAGTTCGGTATCTTCAAATTTCCAAAGTACTTTTTGTTTTAAAGAACGAAAAACATTTACAAATATTTGTAGTTTTTCCGGTGGCAGATCTTTACTTTTCAAATTCGAACCCATTGAAAAATAAATGGCACCTTCAGTAGCATTATCAAGAAATGCTTGCAATTCCTGTGGTAAAAGATCTGGTATTTGTTTAATATGCACACCGCCGACTTCTATCATATTAGTAACATATGGGCGTGGATAACTGAGGGAAAAATGTTGATTAAGCAACACTAATGAAAATTTTTTTTGTATTTCCTGTAAACTTATTTTGGCGTTAGGAAAGAATTGCTTATATATCTCTTCTTGTTTTGGTAGATAGAAAAAATTATAATACAAATTATCTATTCCAATTTGTATAAAATTTGACAAACGTTCTCGGTATGTCATTTTAGTGTCAAATGGAGTAAATACTGAGGGCAAAAAAGAAGGCGGTGAAGTATTTCCAACAACTCTATCAATAAAGCTTGTTGTGCCAAAAGTTGAGAGTCCCACAATAGGTGCATTAAAATGTCGCGCCAAACCATAAAGTGACTCTGCCAAAAATAATTCTATTATAATCAAATCGAACTTCTCCTCCGATGATTTCAACAATTTTTGTATTTCCTTATTACGAAAAACATTCGGACACATACTCAAGCCGATATCATACATTGTCATCATATTCTCCAATTTACTTAGTTGTTGCATTTCATCGACATGTGTCAACAAATCTGGAAACAAAAATTTCTGTAAATCACTAAACTAATAATATCAGATCTAAATATATACCAGCCACTAAATTTGCATTCTCGGGTATGTAAATATCACGAAAATTTTTAACAGGTTTCTGTTGTGGAAACATCGAAATAGATGTTACCTCATGTCCTCGTTCGGTTAACTTTTTTAATATAGCTGAAGCAAATATATACTGAGAGGGACCAGGATATGCAAATACGGAAAGTATCTTCGCACTATCTGTTTCCCTAGTAAGTAAGCTACCTAACACAATCAAAAATATTAAACCGAATTTCATTATGTTCACTCGCCACACAACAAATTAGAACTGAACAGCTTTTAAAATCAACATATAAATAGAATATTTTAGATTGCATACGAATTTGAAGTCTCATATACTTTTAACAACAAACATATAATTTCATCATGAATTACAGAATGTTGCAAAAACTTACGGAAATAAGTATTGAATGAGCTTAAGCCGATCTGCTGTTCTCTGTTTTGAAAGAGAATCCATTTTAGTTCTACAGTATTGTCTATAGTCTCTTAATTAAATAATAAAATTTGTTAGATTGTTTTCATTTTTGCCGAATGTTTACATTAATTTCTTTTAATTTAATCTAATATTTTATAGAACAAAATATTATCAAATGGTTTAGTCATTTTATGAGTAGTTTCATTAAACTGTTTATTGGATAATAAAATTAACAACAGTTAATTACATTTTAATAGTCTTATTTATCATTATTTATCATTAACAAACCTGTTATGACTTTAAAAAAAAAATATTATAATAAAATATATTAGAAGCCAAACATAACTCCAAGCCTTCACACTCATGTGTGTCCGTTCTATCTTAAACCGACGTAAGACTGAGATACTAACGTGAATAAGAAAACGATATCAAAATTATTTCAAAATCCACTTTGAAATATTAAGAGAAATATTTATTTCTTTATATGTGAGTTAACATTAAAATTAATTTTAATGCAGACTATCATACCTGTGTGTCGTTGTATGACACACAGGCATGATAGTCTGCACCTCTTACCAACATGTTGGCGTGCTCACCAAAATTTTGGTGAGCAGCTCTCGCCAACGTGTTGTGTATGATAGTCTGTCACCCCTAACGATTCATAAGTCATACAAGAGCATTTTTGCCCTGCAAATTTATTGTAAGCAGGCGGAATATGTAGAATTGTAATATAAATTTAATACGTTTTTTTATTATTTTATTGTTAGTGTTAAAATTACACTTATAAATTTGTGTTAAATATTTAATTGTATTTTAGTTAAAAAAGTATAAATTTTTATATAATATTCTTATAAAAATTAAAAAAACAATTAAATATTTTATTTAATTTATTAAATATTTTAATTTTATTTTAATTTATAATCGATGATTATAAGTAATTTGTTATTTAAAAAAACATCTAAATATGAACATCGTTAAATTAACGATCTAAGCCCAGTAATTAAAAAACGTATAGAAAATTGGTCGTAATAACAATTAATTAATAACCTAAATTTAAGATACAATACTCTGTATTCTAAATATGCTTTTCTTTGTTAAAGCTTGTTCTTAAAATAAAAGAATTTTAAATGTTAATAACCTTGAACTAACAAAAATATGGAAATTATTAAAAATCTTGAAAAACAATGAAGATATATGTTCATTCTTTTATTATTTGTATGATATATTTATGGAAAATTTCTTAAGAAATTTTGGGTCCTTTACTGATCTTTTCATTTTAACTACTATACTTAATGACCTTTTTACTTTAGATCTTATTTAGTGTTAATAAACCTATAAACCTAAAAAAAATGAATATGGATGCAGATAAAATATTTATAGATACTTTCATCCAATGTTAACAAAAATAATCGCTGTTTGTGGAATGTCCAAAGCAGTGAATATAAAGATCGCAAGAAAAAGACGCGGCATATATTAAATATACAAAATTATAATCAATTATAAGCAAAGCGCAACATATACGTTAACTATCCATTTTTTCAATTTTGCGATTTTAAAATTTTATTTTAAACTTCACACAAATTTTCACAGCACCACCCAAAAAGCACTCTTCAAAAATTTTGCGTAAATGACGATTCTTGTGTGTCATACCTGTTCAAATTCGGTCGCTAGAAGAAATTTGAGCAAGAGAGAGCGCAATTCGTATGACACACCAGTATGATAGTCTGCACCGCGCTTAAAGTTAACTATGTATAAGGGACTAGAGTAGGTCCTTCACCCGAGAAAAAGTAAGAGATATAAACAGAACACCTTTTTTCTTTTTGGTAAATTTTTTATTTGTCTAAGGAGTCGAATATCGAATATGCGAGTTTAGCAGCGCTGACGGTTTTACATCGTCTCTTAACACATGCTTAGATTAAAGTTCTATTGCATGAACTTTAGCTTAAGATGCTGTCGGTTTATAACTCTCTAGAATAATTACTTGAAACACAAGCTTCACGTTTTTGATACACACGCCATAATTACATATAATAGTTCCGTTAGACTTTGTTTGTCGCTTCACTCGTTAATAAAAAATTTTTCTACTGTAATAACAGATTAGAAGAAGGCTGCTCGGGGAGGTATGCGGATCTGAGGTAAAAGTGCTCAAGTGCACTGGCTCAAATAGATTCAATATTATGTTGAATATTATGTTGAAGAGATTCTGTTATATACCTATTAGTATTAATTATTATTCCATTGATATTACAACTATCTTAGATATCTAGTAATACTTTTAACAAATGAAAATTTGGAAGTTTGAGTTGTCTTAAATCATCATTTAAGATAACATGTTAATGATAATGATATATTTCATACAAATTTCAATATATTTCATAAATAATTAGATAAATAAATACATAAGTAAATAAATAAGTAAATAAAATAAATAAATAAATAGATAAATAAATACATAAGTTAATAAATAAGTAAAAAAAAAATAAATATATAATAAACAAATAAAAAAGATAAATACATAAATAATAAACAATAATAATAAATTAATAAACATAAATTAAAGTAAAGGATTCAACTTACCATAATTTAATACATAATACTTAAGTATGTTAGAAGTGTACGTTTAAGACGATTTTTGTACCCTAGTTCCAAGGCAGGAAGTCTTCTCATTTCTAGGTTTGAATGCTGAAGCAATTTAGATAAGTGGTTAGTACTGCTTTTTTGAATTGTTTCAAGTACATACATCCTGTGTTTTTTTACGTGATTTCCTGCCATCGATGGCTTAACACCACGGTGCTCTTAACACACGTATTAATTTAAGCGTCAATCAACGCCCCATTGGAATAGTCTGCTTCTATTCCGCCGGCACCAATAAAGAAATTCATGCAAGTTATAACTTTCACCTTGGTAAGATGCGAGGCCTACCTACTGACCCCTGCTGATCTTTGAGTCACAGCACCCGGTTTGAAACGCACACCACGGCGAATGAATGACAAGCAAAACATTCTTCCCGCGTGACTTTGGTTATTAGCCACAACCACTTCGAGTCCAACGCCAATGGTCAGCACAGCCGAAGCTGTCGGACCACTGACCCCCGAAGTACCAGATAGTATCATCTCTGGTCAAATGTCGCAAGTTGCCGCCCACAACTCACTACCATTCGCACTTCTTGCGTAAGTGCCAGACTGGCACTAGGGGATATTAGTCGCCTCTTACGACAGGCCATCCTAACCGCGGGAGTATTCTTTTCCCCTCTCCGCAGGGAATGTTTCATGTACAGTACGGATATTCAGGTCTTTGTAAATATCGTCGTTTCTGATGTACAATCTGGCGTCTATTATCGTTCGCAGGATATTTGATTGCAGTCTTTGAATAGTATTAATATAAGTTTTGCAGGTGGTTCCCCATATTTCAATTCCGTATTTCCAAATCGGAACAATAATAGTTTTGTAAATTAGTAGTTTGTTATCTATTGACAACTGGAATTTTTACCAAGAAGCCAATATAGGTCTTGGCTTTTTATATTTTTAAATTTAATTATAACAAAAGCTTGGGTGATAGTACCATCAGAATGTTTCTCCCTACTTCAGTGCAATACGTCTAAGTTTTTAATAGTTGGATACTGAACATTGACATTTCATCCAAATTTTTTAATAATAATATGGTTAGTAATAATATGATTGAAAGGTGCAACTGATTGCTTATTATGATGCCCTTAAAGTTTTAAGAAAGAGGCGACTTATACTAACAATTGTTTCCATTATACAATGGAGCCGCTTTATCTGTAATCCCGGGCAGAGACATAGAAAGTTATTAATAGATTCTACATCTTTTTTATCATGACAACTCCTGCTTCATTCAATGTCCGCTCATTGAATTTTACTATCGTTGAAACTTAAGTATAATAGCACAGTGCCACTTCAGTATTCTAGTAAGAATACGAACTGAGTTTCTTAAAACTTTAAAGATATTTCGGTAAGTCGATTATTTTGACCATAAATTTGATGTTGGTCAAAATGTAGCCATAAAATATTTATTTGTTTTATAATAACGTTAAATAAATTGTTTACATTTTATTGTGATTTTAGAATATGCTAGTTATCTTGCACATATTTATAAATATAAATATATATATATTTTGAAGAAATCTACCTTAATTCATAAAAGGTCTATGCAATGTCCCAACCGATCAACAGTGCTAATTAAAATAATAAAAATTAAGCAGTTCTAATTAAACCATTTATATGTAATTTTCAGTTTAAAAAAAAATTTATTGTTCATTTATTGGGCGAAAAAATTTGTGCTTTAAGAATGGTTGGGTTGAAATTCAAATTCAATACAAGTCCATTGTTTCAATGGATCCATTGGAAAGAATTAAGTAGAACTTAGAGATTTTTAGATATTGAACGGGCTTTATTGAATGAATATACACCACCTTTTGCTGTTATAATCCACCTATTCATTACAGGACTTGAAACTAGCAATAAAGACTTATTATTCTTGTTTAGTAACTCTAAAGAAGAATAATTAATAATTCTTTCACCCCTCGATATTCGCATAGAGGCTGATAGGTGTATATTTTGACACTCAAATTCAAACATAGCATTATTATATTATTATAAACTTCAGTTATGGAACTCTTCTTTGTGATGAAGTAATAAAGTTATTTCTAAGCATATATAATATATTCATTATACATCTATTTATATTAACTTTTAACTTTTTGTGGAAGTGTTTCCCGGTATCCATCGAATTAATTCAGTACTAATAAACAGTAACATTCGGAAAGTGGTGTTTTAATATCATTAGGTGTCCTATTTCGATAATAACAATCAAAATGAGTAAAATGAACCATAAAGTAAATGGCCGTGAAACCCATAGGGCTTTATAAATTAAAATAACTTAAGTTAATTTATTTGATACAATTTTTCTATATTTTCGGTATATAATTGGAGTTTGCTATTTAACAATACTATTTTTATTTACTAGATTATAAAATGACTATAACTTACATTTAAAAATAGTTTAGATTGAAAAAGTTACTTTCAAGGATTTTTTTTAATCTTGTTTGAACTTAGTTGGTTAAAACATTAGGACCATCTACTTTGTTAAGATCGCCAAATACATGTTTTTTTATTCTTTTTTATGTTTAATTGCATTTGACGTGAATATGAAACCTAAAATTTTGCTCATAAACCAATAAATTACCCATAAACCCACTGCAGATACAAATATCAAAACACCAATTACATCTAAACTATGCACCTCCATAAAATTCAAATCCTGACCAGCAACGCGCATATGGTTTGCTCCTTCATGCCGTAGTACATATTCTGTCCAATAAATGGCTGCATCAATTGGTTTAATGGGCTGATCATGATATTGGCGAGATATTTTTTTAATCTTTTCCGTATAAATTTTATTACTCAAAATCTTTTTAATTTTAGCACCGAAGCTTGCAATGCTGATGGTGTTAATATCAACATCTAACGCATATCCTGATTTTACTGCGTTAGCCACATTCAGAAATTGATCAAAAAAGTTTGGTATGCCAATTATAGGCTTGGCGTAATATATAGCCTCCATTGTACTAAGTAAACCACCATGCGTAATAAATAATTTGACTTTTGGATGGGCTAATATATCAGGCTGTGGAAACCATTTGCTAATGAAAACATTATCTGGTTTACCTGGTAACTTTTCTGCTTCAAATTTCCATAACACACGTTGCGGTAAGGAAGCAAATGTTTTTAAAAATATATCAATAGTTTCTTTTGGTAATTTCTCACTTTTTATATTAGAACCCATTGAGAAATATATCACACCATTTTCAGCACCATTAATAAAATCAGCTATATCAATTGGTAAAGGTGATGGTTTGTGGCTTATATGCAAACCACCAACTTGAATCATGTTCGGCACATACGGACGGGGAAAACTCAGAGAGAAGTGTTGGTTTAACAGCATTAGTGAGAAATTTTTACGCTGCGTCTCTAGTGATACTTTAGCGTGTGGAAAGTATTGGTTATATAATACTTTTTGACGCGGCAAATGCACTGTATATGTATGAAGATACTGCAATCCGACTATTAAAAAATTTTTTAAACGTTGCATAAAATTCATTTGAGTTGTTAAATCACTCATCGTCGATGGCACGTAAGATATTGGTGACACATTTCCTACATATTCATCCATTTCGACATCCGTACCGAACGATGAGAATCCAATTAATGGTGCCCCAAAATGTTGCGCGAAACCATATAATATTTCTGTTCGCACAGTTTCCACAATCACGAGATCGAATTTTTCTTCATCTGAATTTATTAGCTTTTGTACTGCTTTATTATTTAAAACGCGTAAGGAAATGGATTCAAAAAATTCGGTATAGAAATTGAATTCTTGCCATTTATTCAATTCAGTTTGTACTGAATTAACGATATCTATTTAAAACATATGTACACACAAATTAAAATTGTTAATTCTAATTATTCTGTTCACACCTACTGTCGTAATCTTCAAACACTTCCAAAACTGGTATATCTCTGAAGTTCTGTATTGGTTCCTTTTGTGGAAAAGCATTTATGACTGTTACATTATGCCCTCGTGCGGCTAATGTCTTCAAATAAGGTTGCACGAGAATATACTGTGAAGGCCCCGGAAATGGAAATATTGCTAATATTTTAGCGCCTTCAATATTGCTGAGACACAAGCACAATCCAAAAAGTACTGTAAAAATGAAAGTCACATATTCCATTCTGTTTACTACAATTGAAACCCACCGTGCCGAGTCTAAAACTATACTGATACGAAAGCTACAGAGATGTGAACTCAGCACTGAACTTGACTTTTCAAAATCTAAATAAACAGTTTTATCAAACCATTAAACTATCAAGCGATAGTCGAAAAGTCAATTAAGGAAACGAAAGTTGAGCAGTTAGTGATATACGAGTAGTGTAATTTATGAAGCACATGTACCGCTACACACTGCACTACATACACAGATCGCTACAACATTTTTGATTACTGAATAATTTTTAATAACTTTTACCTAAATGACAGAATTAATTAATTGTTACAATAAATATTATTAAGCAAATACGTAATACGGTCAATTTTACATATAATGTAAAGGGTGTGACAATCAGTTTCACATAGATTTTGAATTTAATGCATGTGCATGTATCTACATATATAAATATAATATTACTTATCCAATGTTCATAATTTTAAATTCAACTGAAATAATATGAGAAAATCAAACATTGACTAACCAATAAAATTATTAACAAATATCCTTAGCATTATTTAATGCAGTAGTTAAATCATATATTGAAAATGGCGCACGGTCTATAAGTTGTTATACGGATAATAATTTACATCCCTTCACTTCACTCACACAAACAGTTAGTGCTTAATTTAGCTCAAATGCATACATTAATTTTAATAAATGTCAGACATGCAGTAAACAGCACAAAAATACAAAAAAGAAATATAATAAATATAAATTTAAATTAAAAATAACAAATAAAAAAGTGCTATGTAACCGCACTAAAAGCAAGAAACAAAAATTAGAAAATATTTTTATTGATGTCTTTGAGCAAACATTTCACAGTGTTTAGATTATGGAGATAATGAAAATGTTTAACTAAAAAGCAATGTAAGATTAAAATTATCTATTGAGTCTGAATGTGATAAGAAAAAATAATGTAAATAGTTTAGCAACAAATATAAAATGATAACTGAAATGAAAGAGATATCCTACGTTATTATTGTGATGTAATTTTTACATCAGTAAAATTGACAATAAGAAACCTATTCTAATCATAATGCATTAATCAAAACAGACAACAATTAATATATATTTCATACTTATATAGCTAATACATTTATGTAGAAAACTGTAATAGTTAAAAAATGTTACCATAAAGATTAATTTTTCATATTTTATTAATACATTACCAAAATAAGTATTGGGCATAAACAATATAGGCCAACCGTGATTGAAAGTTCGAAGCATAAATCTTGAAATTTCATAATGATTTCTAAAATTTGAAGAAATCGATGATATTGCATTCCCTATTTCTGCTTAGAAGTTTAAAAAATAAAAGAGTATCCACCCTTCATCTAATAATATTCAATAAATGAATAAAGTTATGTTGCAATTAAGACTATGCATTAAATATACATAATACATTAAGTGTACAGCGACAAACATGTTTATATCAAATTAAAATAATACATTAGGTTAAGTAAGGTTTAAGAGACGCATGTTAATGCGTACATCAACATTTCCACTATTGCTCAATGTGATACCCTTGGAGTTGTCAGGAGAAGGTGAAGTATATATCACTATATCCTTAATGGTCTAATAATAATAGAGCATATTAAAAATTATAAGTTCTATATCAATTAATCAAAATATCTATTGATAAACAGTATGAAATTAAACTAACTCTTGTTCTTACTACTATCCCATCAACATTATGTTACTTATTATTCTCTAAAGATATTAAATTTTTTTATTAAAAATGTTATATAGACGCTTCTCTTATGTAACCTAAAGATTATTTATTTTTTTTTAAATATTCATTAAATATTAACTGAACGGGATACTTCGGTACCGTATCGAATGCTGGATGCCATTACTTTTTATAACAGCTATATCAAAATGTAAACCTATCCTTTTTTGGTAACATTTAATAGTATAACAATGATTATTCATAAAATAAATTTTAAACAAAATGTCTAATAAAAATATGTTTCCTCTTGATGAGATTTGACGTATTGGTTCCAAAAAGTTGAAATTTATTTAGCTTATTTGGAGAGGTTTCGAAAAGTAGCTATTATGTAGTTCAACACACATTTGAATAGTGAAACAAATAATACTTCTCCTAACACCTCTTAGATATTTAAAAATGATGCGAAAATACTAAAATACTGAATATTCTGTGATATTCATTTAAAATCTTTTTTCTCAAATGTTATTTTAATATAATGCTGGCTTTAGTATATAACATATGGTCCAAATACTTATATTTTTTGGTAAACAGAAGAAATATAAATTTAAAACTTTTTATGACTGAAATACATATCTGCAATACATAAATTTACAGGTTTGTGTTGAAAAGCGGATATACTGATGCATCCCTCACTAGACTCCTCAGGTTTTGTTAAGCAACTGACTTTAATAATATCTATAAGTATATTATGACAACTAGAAGACATCGATATTCAACAGAATAAATTAGTCAATATATTATTCAGAAAAATAACTGCAACCAAACTGTTTGACATATATAGTCTGTAATCACCGAGAGTAATTCTCTCTGTAATAACTTTATAGTAAGGAAGTTAAGTGAATCATACAGAATTTTGAATCTACATTGACGTGTCATTTATATGATAATATGTATATATATAATATTATATAAACATGCATATATATAATATAGTAAGTTATATGACAATAGTAATAGCTATAGTTTTGTTCACACTTATATATCATTAGCGTACAAACATCAAAGAATTATATAGTTTTTCGTAAAATAAAATGAATCTGAAATATCTATAGAGCGAATACATTGGAACTACAATAGGAACTATTGTAAATCTAAACCTAAACTGATCTCTGAATATAATTAAGCAATTAATTAATATGGGAATAATAAATATTCCTTACATGTCCAATTGTTATTAAATATTCTTATAGGTAATAAAAGAAGATTCAATATTGCCAACATACATATGAATCTCAAGAATAGTATTCTAATATATTCTACATTCCAACTAAGTTTCCAAATTATTCGGTCATATATCATGACACGAATATTATTACTTTTTAAGAGAATAAGGTATTTTGTATTTATATTTAATATTTGAATATTATACAGATAAATAATAATACGTAATTTTAATAATACTCTATTATTAAAAATAAATGAGAATACATCAAGCTGTATGTACGTTCATTTGTAAATGGATATATTAAAAGACATTGTAGATGAGATAATTTTAGAAATTTTTAAATAATTACTTTACAAAAATTAATATGTTAATACGTATGTATATCATATTTCAAATAGAACATAATGTAAAAAAATATGTAACCATATAAATATGCTATATGTTCATGCTATATAAACAATGTCGTATTGATTGGTAAATACATATTGTATAATTTGATTTATTTAAATTAAGATCACTTAAATATACACAAAAAAAATAATTACAGTAAAGTACTGTATGTGTGGGGAATGAGATTTGTTTACAAACTCGTCACTTACTTTTTTTATGTAAGAAAAAATATTCTTTAATATATATCATAGATTGTAAAATTTAAGCCTGACTTGACGAATACAGAACTCAGCAATATTTAAGGTAAATTTAATTAAATTGGAACGCACCAAACATAAATAAATCTTAATATTAGCCGTGGTGCAGTAAACGAAGAATAAGGGAAGAATAAGAGAATGGTTCACATTCATGTTTAATGTGGAACATGTGTATGTGCAAATATAAAGTGGAACGTAGTAAATATTATGTACAATTCAACTTTTGCATATGATACGGCGCAGTAACAATGCAAACCAAGCAACAAATGAAAAAATGAATTTAAAAGCAAAAAAGTAAAAACGTTTGTAAACAAGAGAACAAGTGACAAATATAACGCGTTGCCAACTTACTTTCCCTTGCGATCAGTAGGGTTTCTCAAAGTAGATCCAATTCGTGATGTGCAGATATGCAATTATTATAAAATATTTAGAACTTATAAAATTATATACAAATTTGTAATGAGGAAACTAAAGTCCTTCATTTATTTATAGTTTTTGACAAATATTTAATATACATTTTTGGAAACTTTTTCTTCTGCATTTTTTAAAACTTATATAAAATTTTGATCTAATTCTAAAATAAGCAGTAAAATTAAAAGAAAAAATTATAAATTTATGTAATTAATAAATTTTATAACTCTAAATTGATTTATATTACTAATATTAACATAATCCATTTTTTTAATAATAGTTTGCTAAAATATGTTCATTCATTTAAACACAACAATGCTTTATAGGAGTTTTCAAATTTATGGAATATAACTACTATATAAAAAATAATAAAAAATATTACTGACACTAACCTGAACTGGAGTACTGCATTTATTTGCATTTTTGCCAAGCGGCGTCGTATAATAGGTGCCTAAGCCTTTAGAACAATTTAACTTTTATTCTTTTATTTGTTAGATTGACGTTTAATATGTACAATATTTTTAATACTATTGAAATACATATTTTATATATATACTATATTATATATATATTTTTGAAATATATATACAAATACTTTTATAATTTACACATATTAGTCAACATTTTTCCTTCTTTAAATAACCATTTTGAACATTTTTACTTTTTTACTTCTTCTTTCTACTTGATAGAACAAAATTTGTCCAAACTTTTATAATATATTTTTTCACCTGTTCCATTTTCTTTTTTGCATATTTTACTTTATTAAATTTGGTATACGAAACAAATTAATATTTATATATTTAATATTTAAATAATACATAAACCACTTGCACTTGCGCTAACAATTTTGATTTCAGTTTTCACACTTATTTCGTTTGTTGTTTTTTTTTTGAAAAAGAGAAGAAATTAAAGAACCGTAACTATGTGTGTGCGCTAAAATCATTGCAGTTTACATTCTATGCCTCCATTCGTTTAAATATTTACCTAACTGTGCATGTAACACTTAAAGAAGCTAAAACAACCATTGTTGTTGTTATTATTCGAAGGCTTACGCAATTTACA